GCCAACGCCGCTGAGGGCATCAAGCCTCTGATCGGCTCGGCTAAGCTTCCGCTGCGGGAAGTCGTAGACGACGTCGGATTTGGGAACCGATTGGAGAAGAGGCTCGAGCTCAAGCGTCCCTCTGGACGGCCACATGGGAAACTGGAAGTGAATGTTACCGTGCGCGAGCCGCGCTACCGTGCCCCGGATCCATACTACGCGCCGTACGGAGTCCCTCCACCGGGGAGTAGAGACTACACTGCAGCACCACAACCATACGGCAACCCCTACGCAGCTCCGCCGATGCCGGCTTATTCTGCTCCGCCGTCGGGTTATCCCTACAGTGCGCCTTCCTACGGTCAACCAAGTTACGGGCAGCAAGCATACGGGCAGCAATACGGGCAAAGTGGTTACTCCAGGCAGCCGGGGTATGCGGTAGAGGAGAAGAAGAAGAGCAAATTCGGTGGGATGGGGACAGGATTGGCTGTGGGTGCGGTTGCAGGAGTGTTAGGTGGACTCGCATTGGCTGAGGGCGTTGATGCGCTGGAGGACCATGTTGCCGATGACGTGGCGGATCGTGTGGAGGATGATTGGGGAAACGATGGTGGTGATGATTACTAGAATGTCAAAATATGAGAAAATAATTTTTATTAATTAAAACTTTATCATATTCAAGAATGTGATATTTTCTATGTTTTAAATTGAAGTGATCGAAATGAACGAGTCTTTAATTTTCTATATTGTGTTTATGAAGTCAATGGTCAATTAATGAGTCGATTAATGCCCCTTAATTTGGGTGATTTCTACATGTTTCTAGAGGATAAGTCAATGATGGAACCTAAACATTTGTAATGTATTAAAAAAATAAAAAAAACATTTCAATTTCTAACATTTAGACGGGTGACATTATGATTGTGTACAATGTTTAGAGATTAATAAATCGCATTAATCACTTTTATGCATTATTGATCGGCTTATTGACGTGAAATCTAGCTCGAGATCGATTAGGGTATTTGTTATGGTTTTGTCTTGGGTTCGAGAGGAAATTGGCTTGAACGAGTTGAATCAACGGCTAAGAATAGTTAATGTTGCATTACATATAATTTAATTGTTTTTGAGAAAACGGAGAAAAGAAATTTTTTTGACACGATGTGCGTTGTTTAACGAAAATGACCCAACTTCACAAGTGTTCAAAATATGCAAATAAGAAAATCATAAATACCGCGAATTACTTAATCTTCGCACAAGGAGGTAATGACGGTGAAAACGAAAATGACGAGGTCTCTTAAAATTAGTTGCAGGGTTTTATGAATTTTACAATTATACAAGTTCGGCAACTCAACCAAAAAGACAGAAAGAAAAAAAAAGTATTCACACGTGAACATTTAGTGCATGCCACTTCGATAGAAAAAAGAGTTTTAGATAATGATTTTTAAAAGAATGTGTGATTAAAAAGTATGAATTTTTTTTATATACGTGTTGAATGTTTTATTATGTGAATGTGTGGTTGAAAATGGTTTTATAGTAAATCATAAAATAAATTAAAAAATGTCAAAAATGGTCTCTATTACTCTTTCAGTCTCTATTTCATTTGTAGCACTAGTAGATAGATTGATCTTCGATTCATTCACCCTCACAACTAGTGAATCAAATAAATTCATTTTCTTCAATAAAGTCTTTGTTGCATTTGTAGCACTAGCAGATAAATTGCTATCGTGCTGAATAGTTAGGTCCAAATTTTACAATTAATGGAGCTCATAATCCAATCTGTTAGTCAACCCTCTTTGTTTCATGCAGTGAGGGAAGTGAACTGAGACAATTTCCAATTTCCAAAGCAATTTCATTGACTTAGGCTTCTCTTTTTCGTCTTTTCGACTGGGGAAGGTTCTAAACTTTTAATTGGTCCTGACCTGATCTCTGTCATTTGAAGAAGTTATTATATAAAAGTGGAAATTGCAAGAAATGTCCACTTTCTTCTAGTCACTTGTAAAAATAGCAACTTTCAAAAATCATTGCAAAAATGGTCATTTTGGTATATTTTAGCCCAAATACCAATGGTCAACAATTTATGATTTCATTCAAGGACAATAAAATGGACATTTTTGCAAAAAAAATATTGG